GCTACATACTGAAACCTCACGAGTTGAGTGATGTTGGATAGTACCGGACACATTGACGCTTTGAGTCAGGAAAGACACATACTGAAACCTCACAGGTTGATTTGTATTGGAGATTGCCGGACACATAGACGTGTTGAGTGAGGATAGCTGCATACCGAAACCTCACAGATGGATTGTTTTTGGGTTTGCCAGACACATAGACGCCCTGATTGGGGATATCTACATACTGAAACCTCACGAGTTGAGTGATGTTGGATAGTGCCAGACACGTAGACGCATTGAGTGAGGATAGCTGCATATTGAGACCTAACGGGGTTAAGTGACGTTTGCGACTGCCGGACACATAGACGCTTTGAGTGAGGAAGGATACATACTGAAACCTCACGAGTTGAGTGATGTTGGATAGTGCCAGACACGTAGACGCATTGAGTGAGGATAGCTGCATATTGAGACCTAACGNAGTACACATAGACCCGAACCCCAACCAGTACCCGAACCCCCCCTGAAAAAGAGCGGCCATGCACCCTCCCCCCTCTCTACCTTCCCCAGAGGATGAGGAGGGTACAGTCCAAAGTAAGCACAAGCGTACCTACGGTTAATGCCTATTGGTACGGCATTAAAAAAACAAAATACTTGAGTCCCCCGTTGGGCGGTGGAGGACATAGAGCTAAGACACCCTAAAACTCTCCGGCGTCAGATCCAAAATGGATCGAACGGTGGAGGGGGGAGGGTGTTCGTTGCTTGAAGTGGATCAATAAAACATAGAGCCATCAAAGCAAAGCTTAATACTCACATCGAGCAAGCTGAACGACCAGACCAACAACGCAAAAACTGCGGAGATAGATGTGCGGCACGCACAATGCATTGTTTTCGATTGGAGAGAGGCGAGTATAAAGCAGCAAGGAATTGTTGGCCAAACTTTCGGCAGATAGGTCTACTCGGGAGCGTAAGTGGGGTAGCAACCCATGGTGGAGCGTATATGAGAACCTGGACGTTGGTGTACGTTCCATCCCGGCGTGTAAGTAGGATCTTAGGCTATGCAAGTCGTCCCTAAACCTATTGTGGTGAAAATGACCTCCCAGGAGGAAAGTAGCCTGTACCGCGGGATTTCGAAGATGATAAATTGGGTGGTCGGGGGACGTCTGGGTGTTTACTAAGCAGAGCGCCCGGCACAAGACTGGGGTACTTGTGTCAGGAGGTGTGAACTTGGATCTAGACTACGAGATTATGTTGGAGGCGCTATTTAGCGTCGGTGAGCCGGCAAAAGAAAGCAACCACAAGACGGACACTCGGATTGGGAAGGCCGAGTATTCCGTATACCTTCCTGAAAAAACACGAAAAACAAGTGGCCACGGTCCAGTTGCCGTAGAGATCATGAGGATGGTGAAGAAGCTTGGAGGATGGAAGCAGAAACTGTGGAAGGGAGACAAGTTGGAGCTGCTGCTGTTTGGGATTCCAAGGGACATGACGAGGATAGAGTTCAAGAACTGTTGTGACAGGGAGGGACTGCACNTGATAGAAACAGAGAAGGTAAGGAGACAAGAGGCGAGGGCGACGGAGGCGAAGAAAGGACCGAGCGGGGGAGGCGAGCAGGCAAGTAACAAGAAGTCCGAGAAGAAGCGGAAGGCGAACGACAGAGTGCGCAAAATCT